TTTTTTTTTTTTTTTTAAATGACAAGCCCTTGAAGGGAGAGGGAAAGGCAGGTCCTCACACCATGCAGTCTTTCCAGGAGGTGGCAATCAGATGTGGGTGATCCTCCATCAGTATGTAAATGAGGATGGTAAGGAAGTGTGACAGAGGCTTGTTCCCCTCATGTTGCCAGAGACCCTTTGATACCAAGGAGACTCTGGGGTAGGACTGGGATGGGCTTTGGAAGCCAGAGTGAGGATCTTTCCAGCAATGAATCAGACCAAGCAAGGAAGCAAGGAAACACAAGGGATTTACCTGCAGCACTCTAGGAGAATGTGTTTTCAGAGTTGCAGCAATGAGGGTTATGTCTCAAATTAACTTTTATTTATGTCTTCCTTCAATTTCTTTGAGGGAGAAACATGTAACAAATTTGTTAGGGTAAGCAATAATTTTTGGAGGAAAGTGGGAAAGGATAAAGAAAATTTTTATCAGGAAAAGTTGGTCAGAGAGGATGGGGATTGTTAAGGTAGCAGGCACAAATATCCATGAGAGACACATCTCTGAGTTCAAGCAAAGAAGATAGAGAGTGTCTGTCCGGCTGCTCTTCTGCCAGGTTCAGCAGGCAGAGTCACTTGAATAGAGGTTTTATATATTTCTTTTTAGAGGATAACTTTTTTAAAATAAATATTTTATTTATTTATTTGTATGTGGTGCTGAGGAGTGAACCCAGGGCCTCACACGTGCAAGGCAAGCGCTCTACCACTGAGCCACAACCCCAGCCCTTATGTCTTTTTTAACAAGTAACATCTTGGGTGCAGCAGACTAGAATTGACCTTGGGTGCAGATGACTGGGTAACAGCGAACTTGCAGGGGAGGGAGGGGGGCGTTTATGGGTCTTAAGTTTCTTTTTCTTGGCAGTTTATAAGTTTTGGTTCTGAGTTCCAGAACCAAAATGGAGTTACCATGTCTAGGGACCTAACAGGGACAACACTTATACAGAGTGTATATCTGGAGCATCGACCTCTGGAAGGGTCACTGAGTCCTCAATATGAACCCTAAGTGGGGAGATCAATGAGGAAGCCCACAAGACCCCATGGGTAGCTACACAGTATGCAAAGCAGTCCTTCCTTTTACTAGTTGGAATGAGCTATATGTTTTAGTCAGCTTAATTGCTCCTGTGACTAAAAGACCCAAACAGCACATTTATAGAGGAAGAAAAGTTTATTAGCGGGCTCACAGTTTCAGAGGTCCCAATCTACAGACAACAGGCTCCATTCCTCGGGGCTCCAGGTGAGGCAGAACATCATGGTGGAAGAATGTAGTGGAGGGAAACAGCTCACATGATGATCAGAAAGAAGAGAGACAAAGAGACTCCACTTGCCAGACACAAATAGATACCCCAAAGTCACACCCCAATTCTCTACCTCCTCCAGCCACATCCCACCTGCCTTCAGTTACCACTCAGTTAATCCCATCAGGTGATTAATTCACTGATTGTGTTAAAGCTGTCACAACCAATCATTTCTTCTCTGAAATTTCTTTCATTGTCTCACACATGAGCTTTTGAGGACACCTCACCTCCGAACAGTAACATCAATTTTACTATCACAGCAGAGAATTTGCAAATCTCTGGGATTTTAAAAATAAAGGCTTATTTCTCATTAACATCACATGCCCATCTTGGACTGGGAGGGCATAGAGGTGGACTCTGCTCCGGAACCCACACAGAGGAAAACTCCGCTTCAGGGGGAAGACATATGACGTTCCTGTGTCAGTTCTATAAGACCCTTGCTATATGACCCTTGTAAATGCCATCCACACTTTACTAGCAAAAGCAAAATGCTTTAAGAGAACTTTAAAGGAAAGGTAGAAGAACAGTCCCACTATGTGCCTAAAACCGAGAAGAATCAGAATCATTGGGAAACCACACTGACTACCACAGTGGGACTACAGAATTTCCAGCAAAAGCTATGCAACTGTGTATCTTCATCTTTTAGGTTTCTTGTGAATGTCAATCAAGGGCAGTTTCTTGGCTGATTAGCACAGAAAACAGAGCCTATTATTCCAAACATAGATGTAGGAACAGAGGTGACTGAGTCAGTAGGATATAAGGACCAAGAGATGCAATTGGGAGGGCACAGCCTTACCTAGAGCCATTCAAACTAAGCTTATCTATAATAACAACAAGCTGAAGACAATCACATGTTAATCAATAGAGATTTAGTGATCAGATTTAATCTCTATTGATTTAAACCAATCATTGGTTTAAATATGATGTGCTTAGACTGGGATTCATTCATTCATTCACTTGCTAAATGTTCATAGAGTACCTGCTATGTGTCAGGTACCAAAGATATAGCAGTGAGCATTAAAAGGTCACTAAAATCCTAGTTAGAGTTAAGTTGTACTCTGTGTATGTATAAAATGTCAAAATACACTCTACTGTCATGCATAAACAAAAGGGAGCAAAGAAAGTCACTAAAATGAAAAACAACAACCAAAAAGGATGATTCATGTTTGCATGTATTGGTGTGGAAAGATATCTAAAATGCACAAGGTGAAAAAAGTTTGTGGCAGAACAGCATGTATCATATGATCCCATTTGTGTGAGAATTTTTGGGGAAATTCTTAGGAAGAGAAAGTATTAATTTGGAACTTGATGTTCTTATATGTTATTTGCAAACTAAGCATGTTTTGATATACAACATAGATAATAGGTAATATTATTATATTTTATTTTTATCTTTATAACAATAATAGAAAAGATGACTACAAAATAATTTTAAAGAATAACAAAAATTATATTTGGCTGCTAAAGAAAGGACAGAGAAAAGGCCTCAGGTTAATGGACAAATGGGCTACAGAAGACAGAGGGAGGATGAGGAGAGGAGACTGGGGTGAGAAAAATAGTGAAAGATGTTCCTGATGAAGCCATAGGTGAAGAGATTCAGGGCTCAGTTGGGAGAAAATGAGTTCAGATAGAAGGATTGGCATCTCTGACTTATGGGGAAGAAAAGGAAAAAGTGGGGATGGATACTCTTTGGTTCTCTATCAGGTGTCTTTTATGTTGGCATTTTTGTTCTCACAGAGGCAGGAGGGGAGGTCACCTTCCCAAAGAGAGAGAAGTGGA